CACATACACATACACATACAAGTACATATACAATTACAATTACTTTTCCTACACATATACATATACATATACATATACACATACATTCATCCATGCATGCATGCATGCATGCATACATACATACATACATAAATCCCTGCATGCATACATACATACATACATACATACATGTAACATGTACATAAATATATCTGTATATGTGTTTGTAAGAATAGTTTCTGAGATATGTACTTGGAACTCCTTTTTTGCTTTGCATAGGTTTCTATGAGCCACTACATTCGAAACCTTACGCCCGGAGCCCCATATCCTGAACCCTAGGCCCTGTTCCGGTAGTTTCCGTTTAACCATGTAGGCAGTTTGGCACTAGAACCCTGAACCCTAAACCCTCATCCCAAACCCTAAGCCCTACACCTTAAACCGAATCGTGAGAATCCCAGGTGGCGGGTCGGATCTGGCCGGGGGCTGCGCTTGATGAACCGGTATCGCTTCTTGTTCCACCGATTCAAACCGGAATCTCAGCAACCGAGAAGTGCGCTTTGAGGTGTAAGGGCTACCATTCAAGAAAAGAGGTGTAGAGTTGTAGGGTGTGCAGGCTGACATATGTATGAGAGTGTTTTTCAGCCCGTGCTTTCGCTTTGAGGTTTCCTTGGGACTAAATCCTCAATCTCTAGCCCCGCGGCCCAACGCCTCACCAACGCAAGGAGAGGTATAAACACGGCCTCTTTCTCCTCTACCGAAACAGCCTCCTGGCGGCAAGATACCCCCGAGCCTTGCACCGGCAAAAAGTCCGTAAGAAGGAAGCTTTACATTTCCGAACCACAGAACCAAGGGCAAAACACACACGCAGAGCCATCCTTTCTCAAACCCTAAACCCCAAAATGCCACCCAGCGCGATGCTCTCAACTCCAGAAACTCCTGGAAGGGACCCCCCCGGAGTCCCACGAGAGGCCGGAAAAGCCTAAACCCTAAACCCTGAAGTTCAGGGTTCAGGGTTCAGGGTTTAGGGTTTAGGGTTTTGGGTTTTTTTGGGCTTTAGGGCTTAGGGTTATAGGGCTTTAGGGTTTCAGGGTTTAGGGTTTAGGTTCGGAACCCCTAAACTCTAAACCCCAAGCTTTGTCTGAAGGTATCGTGGCCCTCTTACCCGTCGCTGTGGACGTGCCAGGGATCCAGGTGCAAGGTTTGGTCGTTGTTGAAGTTCAGCCTTTTGTTGAAAATTGGGATTGTGAGGTACTTCGCGTTCAGGCTGGATTGGCACTACCCAAACCTAAGAAACCTGCAATTTTCGGAACTTCCTTGTCATGAACTCCTTTTACAAGTCCTTACAACGGTAGGTTCTTTGGGGTTCGGGTTTAGGGTTTAGGGTCTGGTTTAGGGTTTAGGGCCTAAACCCTAAACCCTAAACCCTAAACCCTGAACCCTAAACCCTCAACCCTAGTTCAGGGTTTAGGGCTTGAAGGTGCTTGGCGGCGGCGTATCTGGGCTCTGAGGTTTCGGAGTCCTAGGGCCCGTTGGGGCTCCCGGCTGGGGTGCTGCTGAAGACCTCCCTTCGGCTGAGATACGCAAGAAGGGTTGTCATTCTATGATAATATATATACATATATATATATACAAAATATATATACATATATATATATATGTATATGTATATATATATATCTATATCTATATATATATATAGACTGTAACATTATACTACACCACTACACTGCTACGCTAGAATATAACATCTATAGTATACTGTGATATTCTACTACACCAGACTATCGTCTCTATATGCTTCTGGGAACCCAAAGCTCCCCCAAAGAGCCCTGACCGACATTTGCAGGACGATGAGATCATGTCGGATAGTGTAAGCATGTGGGTAGTTCGCCAAAGTAGGGTCCCTTTTAGGGCCGTTTTGAGAAGGGTGCCGTACTATTTTGGGGATCTCAAAAGGTACCCTAATTAAGACAACTACCCATGTATAATTAATCGCAGTTATAGAAAGAAGAACACCCATGATACGGCCCCCCTCACCACCGCAGTCTCTCGTCAAGAGTCCTAAACGACATCCGAGTAGCCTGCACCCTAAATCCCTACCCAAGCGTACTTGTTCGAATTGCACTTAAAAGTCACTGTTAAGGCTGAGGGTCCAGGGTTTACGGAGCCTCGTGAGGTGCCGGTCATGGGGACCATCCTCCTTGCCAGCTTAGCACTGCAAGCCCGGACGTTTCCCTGGCGCACTGAGCAGGCAAACCACGTGGACCTGGCATTGACTGGTCTGTTGATTATTGTGCGACTGGGCACTGATGTAAAGGATATCTAAAAAATCTAAACCCATTTAAGGTAGAGTGATAAGAAGAGTGGATGGATGATGTGGTTACTAGAGGTATTACGGCCCCTGCCCCCCCTCCTGCTTACCACCACGAGGGTCTTTGTGACTTATGATTCGTTCCTGACCCTAAAGCCAGGCTACTGGGCGCTGCGCCCCTCCTGAAGCTCGACGAAACAGAGTCCGTGCTTTCCCTGGGCATGTTCCTATGCATACCCGTGGTGATGATCCTGGTGGTAGCCTTGCTGGCCCTTCTGCGAGCCATCGTAAACCATTTTCGGAAGCGGTGTCAATACGGCATCTTTCTCTGCCACCACAAGGCAGGCAGAGAGTTCAGATCTTCATTTCTTCCCTTTCCTGGCGACTTCTTCAGGTCAGCTTCGCAGTAGGTTTGGGATGTCGCCCAAGTAGACCCCTACCCTAAACCCTAAACCCTAAACCTGCCAAGGGTGGCGCCGGGAGCCTCTGCCGGTTGATGAAGCTCTTGATTGCACGACACAGCCCGATAAGGGTCTTCTTGGATTGTGACCAGCTGGAAAACTTAGACTACCTCTTTGACATCGTGCGCACCGAAACAAAGAGCGTGGTGGTCGTCCTGACGACGAATCTCCTTTCACGATCTTGGCCTGCTGCTCAGTGAACGATATTGCTGCAACCGCTTAAATATTACATGGAGAACCCCGAAGTCCTTTTTAACCGTGAACGCCTGAAACTTCCGGTCTTGTGGCGTTGACCTAAACCCTGCCTGGTCTCTTCAATCTAAGTAGCTGGTCTGTTGCAACGTAGGCTTGAGGGCTCCGCGTTTCCCTTGGCACTAAACCCCACCATCTTCTCTTGATTCGTGCGCCGGATTGGCGATTGGTTTGCAGAGCAGTTGTGGCATGCACTTGAGCCGTAACAAACACTGCAACACACAAACCATGTTTTTCAACAGGAGGAGGAGTACCTAGTGAAGAAGACGTAGTAGTAGTAGTAGTAGTAGTAGTAGTAGTAGTCGTAGTAGTAGTAGTAGTAGTAGTAGTAGTAATAGTAGTAGTAGTAGTTGTAGTAGTAGTAGCAGGAGTAGTAG